CCCACATACCATGACCGGTATGATGCTGGTGAAAACCTGCCTTGATTGATACACAAAGGTACCTGCAGCCCTTTCTGCTGGAAATGTAGCTATATGCCACCTCCCACAGAAACTGGTTCCACCTTTTATCCCAGGTAAAGATCCAAGAAATGTGGTAAATGCGTCTACCTTTATGAGCTCTCCTCATGTTATCTGGTAAAGAATGTTACAGCTCATGTACTTCTCAGTTATTTGCTACTTCCCCACTGATGTGAGAAACACACGTAACAGTACACACTGTTTCTTATGAACTGCACATTTTTGTATTAAGTGCATTTCATAACCCTTCCGATGGAGAAACATGGCTCGGTATCATTTTCATAAGGCTTCTCTTGGATAGGAGCAACACCATAGAATTTACACAGCACACAGCTCAGATTTATTCCAATTTTTCATTTTATCTGAGTGTTGATGTTTAAAAAAGACTTTCTTCAAGACACATGTGCCAGGTTGGCACAACCCCAGGCACAAATTCAGGCTGGGGAAAGAATGGCTGGAGAGCAGTCCTGAGAAGGACCTGAGGGTGGTAGTAGATGAGAAGCTTGACATGAGCCACCAGTGTGTGCTGGAGCCCAGAAAGCAACTGCATCCTGGGCTGCATCAAAAGAAGTGTGACCAGTAGGGCCAGGGAGGGGATTCTGCCCCTCTACTCTGCTCTGGTGAGACCCTACCTGGAATACTGTGTACAGTTCTGGTGCCCTCAGCACAAGATACAGACCCGTTGGAAAGGGTCCAGAGAAGGGCCACCAAGATGACCAAAGGCCTGGAGCACCTCTGCTATGAAGACAGGCTGAGAGAGTTGGGGCTGTTCAGCCTAGAGAAGAGAAGGCTCCAGGGAGACCTTATAGTGGCCTTCCAGTACTTGAAGGGGCTACAGGAAACCTGGGGAGGGGCTTTTCATCAGGGAAGATAGTGATAGGACAAGAGGTAATGGTTTTAAACTGAGAGAGGGGAGATTTAGGTTAGATATTAGGAAGCACTTCTTCTCTGTAAGAGTGGTGAGAAACTGGAATGGGTTGCCCAGAGAGGTTGTTGATGCCCCATTCCTGGAGGTTTTTAAGGCCAGGCTGGATGAGGTTTTGTGCAACCTGATCTAGTGGTGGGGTTGCCTGCTCATGGCAGGGGGGTTGGAACTTGATGATCTTTAATGCCCCTTCCAACCTTAATGATTCTATGATAAGTCCCAGGCAGCATATGTGGCCTTCAAAAAGGAGCAGCACCTGACACTGCTTTACTCCATCTCCTTCCATGTTGGCATGTCTGTAGTTACTGGGTGTCCACAACAGACAAAACAGGTCAGGTCTTGTGTAAAAAGACCCCAGCAGTAAGAAAAACATGCCTAAGCAGCTCCCAACACAGTTCATCTCCTGTTGTGTGACTGCGACATGTGCTGGTTACATGACCCAAAGACTCACATGTCAGGAAACATGAGAATTGAGCCATCTTTCAACAAATGGCAGCTCCCAGTGCCTGGCATTTGCAGAATACCTTCAGTACAAAATGACACAGGTGTGTAGAAACATAAAATATTGTTTCAATTTTTATACAGTGCAGAACTTGCAATACACAGTGGGAAAGATCCTTAATAATTATTCTTCTGAGCTATATTCAGCACCTGGGTTGGACTTAAAAAACCACATTAAAATACAGTAAAGAGAAGCTCTGAAAATGTTTTATGTACATTTGGATTGGATTCCTATCCAGAAGTACTGCAGGAACACTGACTTAGAAAAGTTGGTAAGACATCAAAGCACCAACTGCATTTCCAAGTGAATGCCTTTGAGTGGATTCTCATTTTGTCATCTGTCACTGCTTTTGTTTTGCTGAGGGATCTGCTACAGAATAATGCTGCAGGCTAGAAAGTTTCCAAGCATATCACTCAAGTAAATCAACAGTCTCAAGTCTTCACCTTGCCCGTTTTCACAAACAGAGATGGTTTTATTTCTTCCAAAGCAAAAAAATGGAGGGAAACAATGGTCACCTTTATCCTTAGTAAAACTGTTCTCCAGTACTTCCATTTGACAATAGCTGAATGGCATTCTTAAGCAAAATTCTTTACATAATCCTTGCTATCTCAGATAACTGAAATATCACTTAGGGTCTGGACTACATCAGGAAAACCTTGTGCAGTCTTACAACACCTTCACCCAATCATCATGCAAGCTCTAGTTTTACCTTTCTTTATTTTCATTTGAGGACTCTGTAGTTGTTTGTAACATGTAACTGAAGAAAGCAGAGGAAGGGAAATAAAATATTTAATACCACTCTTCTTTCCAACAAAATAATTATATTTAATGACATAGTAAGTTTTCTAAATCTAGAAATATGATAAATTATGTAATAAAACCCAATAAAATAAGCACTATTTCTGCACCTGTTTAGAACTCCCCTTAGACAAAGAGCTATCATATCCCACTATTCTGACCAAGGCCAGAAACAAGCAACTACACTTGAATAAACACGATGAATTCAAGGGAATGCAAAGGTTTCCACTTACACTTACCAATTAAGATTACCTTCTGACATTCTCAGTGCTTGGAGTGCAGCCTGAACAGTGCTAGTGACAAAGTCGCCTGACAACAAACCCTACCCAGAAAGGGAACTTTCTGCAACTCTCTAGGCTAACAAGACTGAGGGATGAGGTGACCTGGGAGAAATGCTGACCAACGCTGTCAATAGATCCAGTGTTAATCCTTTTTACTTCTCCTACACTACGTTGTTCTGTCTCAGTTCCTCCTTAGACTCCAGTTTCCAAGTGCTGCAGGCTGTCTGCTTGTCAGAAGAACCACTCCAACACATATCTTGAACTTCTGTTTCAGCACGATCTGCTCCCCACACTTGCTAGTGCAAACTGTTCTGGAGGGGGTGACTATTTCTGTTGGTTTGTTTAAAACAGGGTACAGGAGACATGCTCCTTTTCTAAGCCATATAAGATTTGGTCTCATAAGCTGACATGGGTGTTAGCATTTTCCGTTTCCTGCTCACAAGTTGCAAGCCTAACTTGTTTCTTACTTCATGGCAGAAGTTCTAGTGAAAATTCAAGCCAAAAGAGCATCCTGTGGGGCCACTTGGCCATCAAGTTTCAAATAGCCTTGGAACAAGCAAGCCAAGGCAACTCAGCACTTTTTGAAATATATTCTTCTTCAGGAAGAATAAAGGAAAGTAGGTTTATTCTTCTCTAGAGCTTGTTAATAAATTACATACTGCTGCCAGGTTCTCCTCTTACCATTATCACTTATGTTCTCTGGGAATGGAAATGGCCCAGGCCTACCTGAAGAAAACCCAGGAACACTTACTGCTCACAGCTCATCCGAAGGTTCTCTTCTTACAAGGGACAAAAAGGCAAGCAGACCTCATCCAGTAGCTGAGTGAGCATTATTCAACTGGTGTCTGGGTCTCTCTGTCTCCTGAACCTGCAGTTTTACACTCCAGCAGTTGAAACTTCAGCCTCAAACACCAACTGCACTGAAAACAGTACAAGACCCTAAATATGTCTATGCATAGTACCTGTCCAAAGCCACCTTGCCCCTGAATCTACTAGCAAGGCTGCATGTGGCACTGGAACATGCACCCTGCAGCACTGAAGCCCTGCCAGGCACACTGCTGGTCTCAGCACGTTCTAACAAAACAGATGATCTCTGTAAGAAAGACAATGCAATTGTTTTGGAAAAGCGCAGAAAAAAGAACAGATTGACAGGGCAGAGAGTAGGGCCATGAGCAAAACTGCACCAAAAAAAGGAATGACTCTGTATAGAATTACACTAAGTAATTTTTAACTTCTCTGTACAGTATCACCTACTGCACAGCAAAAAACAGTCAGACTTCCCATTTTGAGACACTTCAATACAGTAATTGCCAAGACTGGTAATCCTTTCCTTCCTCTTTGTCTGTTCCAAACCCAAATCCATCTCCTGTATTATTTATATATAATGAAAAGAAAGACCTCGTAAACTATAGTGACATTAACTGTAATCAAGACAATTCACCAAGTAACATAATACTGGAAGTAGTTTTATTATGTTACTGGGGGAAGGGAGTGTGTTGAAACAGGACAGTTACACTTCCCTGGATATGTGGTATTTTGAAGGGAAGCTGGAGTGAAAGCTAAGTGAAACTGAAAAATATCCACATTTGAACATCAGTAGGGATATATATATTCTCAGTCTTAAATGCCTGAGCCTTTTTGCCCTAAAATAGATTCTTCAGAATCTCTCTAAAATTGCACACTATTTAAGAATTGCACAATAACTTGTTCAGCTCTTGCAGTGATGGCTGAAGAGAGATCCAAGAAATTCACTGTGGTAAAAAGTCTTTGGTCAGCAGAAAGTACTTTGAATGAAGCAGGAGGAACTGGAAGGAGATTTTCAGCACCTGCAGTTTTTGGCTACTGCTGGGCAAAAGAAAGGAAAGTTTTGGGGTGTGCTGAAACCTTCAAGGTGAAAGCTGATCTGGCAGTAATTTTTTAAGAGATCTATAACCCCTTGTTCATTAACAGCTGTGAGCAAAGCAGAACATCAGTATTCATTTCCATGCACAAATTCCATGCAGAAATTCATATGCTTGTATGTCATGGCTGCATCCCAACCCACCATTTTAAGTCCAAGATTTCACAGACATGGGAAATAAAGGCTCTCTGCTAGATATGAGGAATTCTCAAGGTGCTTTGCTCCCTGCCTAAATCTGTCCATGTCCTCTTGCTTTCTTTAACACTACTGAGTGTGAGCTTTAACTTCACTTAGCTGCCAGAAAGCCTCCAAATTGGTTGTTCTAATACTTGAACTCTCTATACTGCTCACAAGACAGTTAAATTGAAAAAAAGTTTTCAGGTTGAAGTCTGGGTATTATAATCTCTTTCAAGATACAAGTATTCAGGTTTCCACCTGTTCTCAGAAAACATCATGGGAAACAAATCTGGTTTATGATCTGTTTCCACACAAGTAGGTACCACGCACAAGAGGACTTCATCCTGCATGTTTTCCACAAACCCACCGAAGCTGCTGGTCCATTTGGAGGTCAGTTATTTCATCAATGGATCTCCAGCTGCATTGGCAAGCATATGCTCGTGCTCCTTTCTTCTTTGTCATCTTTGCTCTCAGTTTACAGAGATCAGGCATGTTATTCCTGCCAATCAAGTGAATTCAGCTTAGGATCATGATTTTTTTTTTTTTGTTAAAGAAAAAAGATTCACGAGGCCATTTCAATTCAGAAAAGCTCAAGAAGATTTCTGAGTACCACTGTCATTAATGAATTTAGGGATCTGTTTAAAGTGTGTTTTGAACACAAGCCTTTCCTGAAAACAATCTCGGTGCATAGTTGCCGTATTCCCGGATCATTTGGAGATTAATGTTTTTGTAAGCAGTGTTCTTTGTAAGGTTAAGAGACCCTGTGTCAGCTTCCAGAGAAAGAGCTGGGAAGAAAACCAGGTAGAGTTAATTCTTGTATTAAAAAATTATCAAAAAATGTATTTATCATATCAAAGTTAGTGTAAAAATCCCTGTACAGAATGGGTACAACTACAGAGTTAAACTTTTTGTCAGTAACTGTTACTTCAGATGGTGATTGAACTGACTGAAATGAAATGGCCTTAAGAGAGAAGAATGTACATCAAACCACAAACAATTCCTATGCCAGGATCAACCACAACAAATGAAAAATCAGCATGGTTATTACAAAAACAAGTTGTTTCCAAAAAACAAGTGAAAATTTACTATTTTACCTATCCCTGCTCTCATTACCTCCTCCTGGTCATCAATTGTTGGCTACTGAATTGCTCAAGAACATTAACAAGTCCAGATAAATAAAGAAAACCCAAAACAAACTTCAAGGGAATAATTTTTAGAAAAAAGAGGCCAGACACCTATTCATGAAAGACATATGTTTAATCTTCAAGTTTGTTTTTAAAATTTCAGGTTAGTAAAAACAAATAGCTAAATGTTTTGCTAAAGATTACATATTTTAGTCAATGTTGCAAGTATTTGATACTGATGCCTTTCATGTATTTTTTTTTTTTAATATTTATTTCAAGATCTCAGAGGGAGAATAATTTAGACTTTGAGTAAATAAAAGATTTGTATTTTGATTCAACCTTTCCAACAATCAAACTCATCTCAGGGGACTAGTGCAGCACTGTGTTTTTAATGCTGCTTTAAATAATGAGAAAATAAGATCTGTATCAAAAAAGAAATCCAAATTTCAAAACTGAAAGGAAAAGGAGATGAATTATGCATTACTGTTCTACTCCAGCTGTCACATCCCCTGGTGGCCAAGCACATGCTCTGAAAACATCCACTACCTCTATCAGTTAATGGGCATATAGACACAGCCAACGCTAGGGTAATGGTTGGTCTTTTCCAACCAAAATGCTTCTATGATTCTCTACAGAGACTCTACTAAAATAAGAGGAATCCATATTCAATGTCTGTATTAGGAGCATGCCTACTACACTCTCCTTCACTAAGTCTTGGCATTAGATACAGTTTTAAAGAAACTGGAAATAAGAACTCCTTAATTGATAGTCTTAAAAAAAAGAGAAAGCATTAACGACAAAGACATCATAATATCAAAATCCCATCTTTCCATCCAATCAAACCTTGCTTCAAAGATAAGTCTGTTAAGAAATCAAATTATTTGGTTTTCACCGAACATGATGACAGCAGAATACTTGGTACTGTAGAAAAAAAATCTGGGTAGAAAGAAGTACATGCTGAACAGTCTGTATTTATTTTGGAGCCATCCTGCAAAGGCACAACAGAGGCCAACACATCACACCGATTATCTTCTTATTTCAGCAGTAAAGTTGCCTTTTGATCCATGAAATGGAAATTCTTTTTAAAAGCAGAGGGAGAGTCATGGAAGAGGAAACAGAAAGGCATGAAAAGAGATCATGGGAGATGTTGCATCCCTCTCCCTGATTTCCCTCCTGATCACCATACAGGTTGCACACATGCTCCTTTTTAGGTAACACAGAAATGCTCAGGATTTTTCATCTTTCCTCTTCCTATTAAGCCCCAAAGCACAGTAACACAATGCTAATATCAAACCCAGTTCAGACATACCTGAAAAAAAGATAATCACAGGACTGATCCCAGATGTAGTCATTGAAAAGTGACACACGGAAATCACAAGCAGTACAACGTAGTTGATCACACGTTCTGGTCAAAATAGAGAACAGAAAACTCCAAGAGCTTATTACAATCAGAGAAGCTACACATATCATAACAATTTTAAAGCAGAGAGCTCCCTCAGAAATACTAGACACAAGGTTACCCTGTAATTGTTTTTTTACATCTCTGGCACATTCGTTACGTTATGTGTTTTAACTATACAATCATGTATTATTTCTATAGGTTCCTAACCTAACTGAACACATAAAATAAACAGATATTCTCTTGGTATATTGTCTTTGGTCTTCCTCACTGGAATGGTACCTGACCAGCATCCAAGTATGCATGAAGTGTGTAACTACTTATTATAAGAAATACTACACGGAAATGCAATAACATTTAGGATGTTGGGGATAAAGCCTTAATATGCCTCTCCTACCAAGTTCAGCTGCAGTCGCAAAACACTCTGACTATTAGTAGTTCAGGTTCTGGGACGATTTAAACCAGCCCCACTGATTTAAGTCACGTACTCAGCATCACAGAGAAAGCTGAGGAGAGGCAGGGAAAAGTAACAACACTACAGCAGCAATTTCCTTAGCTACGTGTTACTGATTTTTGGAGCCTCGTGTCTCATTTGCACGTATCTTTCAAGGCTTCAATGAACAAAAGATCTAGTGGTCAACAGGAGCAGGTGAGTTCAACTGTATTTACATGCAGCCCTGTGTTTAGGTGAATGTAAGGCTGTCCTGGCTGGTGCAAACACAGCACTTGGTACTAACACAGAAACACAGCTCTGAATACATGATAAAGTAAGCAGAACATTTTTTTTCATGTTTCCTACCTTTTAGAAGTATTTGTTCCTATGCCATATGGTGAAGAGCTTCCACCCAGGTACACTGGACAGCACCTATATGGATTTCATTAAAAAATATTAAATTATAGCAAGACATTTTGGAAAAAGTAGTGCAGTGCTTCTCCTAGTTTAACATAATGGTATTCCTAAAATGTTATTTATTTAATACAGGCAAAGCATCCAAATGCTTACAAACTATAGTTTTTAAATTTCCATTACCCAAGTGTTCAAAGATGAACTCAACAACAACCATTCTCTACACCAAATATACCATAGGACTATATTTTGCAGCACATAGTAAATACATATGCACATGAGGCAAAGGAAGCTGTCATTCAATAACTTAAATAATTAATAAAGTCATAATAAATAATTTCGGCCACACAAAAGCACATTAGTAATTCTTTAAAATTACCTGTTTATCTTTGTTTTTCTTTAAAAAGAGTGGTTCCCTAAACACTCAATTTCTTTCTTATCTAACATCAACACAGATTAAGCAGTAGCAATATTATCAGACTGACAACAAGCTAGAATCAAGCTATGTCCAACTATCAAAAACATGTTTCACTTACCTTTTTCTACCAGCCTGTACAGCAGCACTATTGCTTGCAGGTGGAAGGCTTGCAGAGTTAGACATCGATTTCTATTTAAAAAACAATTTAAGATTAAAAGGCAGCATGACAATAAGGTAACAATATTCTGTTTTACTTAATGAGCAGGAGCCACAAAATCTCAGTCACAAAAGAATAGGACTAAGAATGTGGGAATTTTCTAGCTTAGGTTTCTGTGAGACTCTTTCAGACAGAAGCTGCTGATGTAACATATAATTGAGGAGTAAGGCTTCTTCCCATACCGAATTCTGAGCTCTGCCAGAAGGAATTCAACACCACATGATTGCTTTGACTTGATAATCAAGACTTAGTATTTCATACCCTCTTTTTAATAATTTTGCTTTTAAAAACAGTTTCAATTTAGGAACCTTCTCCCACCATGTTTTTGCACTTTTGTTTACCGGAAACACATCAAGGACTTGGATTACTAAAAAAGATATAGTGTCTTTGAAATGTTTCCCATTTTCTGCACATAAAACCGTTTATTTGAATTCTAGAATTCTAATTCCTAAAGGGAAGTCCTAGGGACCTAAAATGACAAAATTATACAGATTTACTGACATGATTCTCTCTCACTCAGACATACATATTGTGCTATACAAGTGTTTTTTGTTGGCTCAGATTTAGCCCCTCTGTAAGAAATCAAAGACAAAACAATGTCACCCATGCAAGTAAGAGAATCTGCACAGGAGGTTATTAAGTATAAATAACACAGTTTTCTACTGATGATCCCTAAATGAGTATCTACTTTCCATGTCTTATATCACTCTGTCTTGGCAATGTGAATTTGCAGCTCCATCTCCTGCTGTCAAAAAACAAGTCATTTGCAGATGATAAAAAATAGAGAGCAGTGGCTGGCATTCAGATGACAGTGCCACTACTCAAAGGGACCTCAACAGACTGCAGAAATGGGCTGAGAGCAATTTCTTGAAGTTCTGCTAAGAGGAAATACAAACTTCCGCTCCTGGAGAGGAATAATGCTCATGCCCCAGGGCACACTGAGGGCTGACCAGCTGGAAAGCAGCTTTGCAGAGAAAGCTGTGGGAAATTTGGTCAATGATAAGTTGACCAGGAGCCAGCAAAGTGCCCTGGCAGCATAGAAGGCCAACGCTGCCAACAGATCAAGGGAGGTGATCCTTCCTTTCTACTCAGCACTGGTGAGACAGAATCACAGGATCATTTCATTTAACTGCCCATTACTGCCTGGCTAAGGTAAACTCGTTATACTTCTTCTGTTCCTCACTATAGAATTGTTGCATTTTCCTTTCTGTTTTACTCCCCAAGTTTATCCTACAACTTGTTTTAGTTCATTTTTCACTTTAAAACAATTTCAGTTTATGGTGCTTTTCTTTCCATCACTGAAGCTCATCTGTTCTGAATTTCTCGCCTCCAACTCACCAGAGGTGTTTTGGCAAAGCTGCTGTCATTACAGATTTCATCAATAATATCATCTATATCTTCTTCACTGCTGCCAGTACTCATCAACAGTTTGGCTGACCTGAAAAACAAACAGCTCAGCTTTCATTTTGTAGCAGGACCAGAGCAGTTCTAAGAATCATAAATTAAGACATAAAATTAGTTACAGCCTTTTTCCTCTAATCTTTCTGTAGTATCTAAGCTAGGCCACCCAAATCATGACTGAACAGATGTGAACTGCAGGATTATGCCTTTCAGTCCCAGATGACTGTCCCATCATGGGTCTTATTTTTTGTTTCTTTTATTTCTGACCGCTTCCAACCCTGAATCAAACTATGGTAATATAACTCATGCTGCACTTACCGAGCTACAAACTGGACAGCCCTAATTGTTCACATTTACCTGCAGCAGCAGTAATATAAAAAGGTCAGGAGGAGTTCTCTCCTTATGCCTTACAACTGCAAGGGTTCTAAAGGAATTCTTGCCAACCTGTATGCATTTTAGATATCACCTGCTCTTTGCTTTCACTCAGTGAGGAGTCTTGTCACTCAAGTCTCCTTTTTGCTGGCTCTTTGTCAAAGACAGGGAGGCCAGCAGTACTGCTGCATCAACCCACCAAAAACAAATCTACTCCAAAGAAGAAAACTCTGATTATTTTTTTTAAAAAAACCATTGCAACTAGATTGACTGAATTTAGGTGGTCATCTAACCATTATGCCAACAGCAGGGAAGTCCAATACTGTGGCCGAAGACAGAGGGCTTGTTGGTTGTGACCCTGTCACAACCAAACCCGGGGGCGCTCAGACCAGCGCCTTGAACACGGGGATGTCTGAGGTGAGCACATGAAAGTGCAGGGTGTAATTGAAGTGCTTTCTGCAGGAGGTAACTAGAGAAAGTTCTAACAGAACACACAAATGACTGAACTACCAACAGAGCAAAATGCGTGATACTATAATTGTTAAAGTTCTTCCTGCTCTAAACGGCAAGATTTAAAGATATTCTATATATATCACGAGGTCCGTTAGAAAGCTAAGCAATTCCTGCTCCCAATTCAGAGGCAAATGAGCGCAGGTTATAACGCCAGATTTAATCCGAAGCTGGGACACTCCCAGGAGACACAGGCGACCTGCAGTAACCGAGCCGGGCGGCACAGGACCAAGAAACAAGCAGTACAGGGGACACAGCCCGACCGCGGCCTGCGCCCGGGCCCCGAGCCCCGGCCTCTCCTGGGGGCCCCGCCCGCCCCC